TTGGTCGCTACCTCTAATACGGTCGCTTTCGTGACCGCCATCTCGTCCACGATTTTCCTCACTGGTTTCGCATTCATTGTGATGAGGCCAGTGATCGGAAAGCTGATGTTGTTCAATGCGATATCGCAAATTACCATTATCGCGGTTGGGGGTCCCGCGATCTACTTCTACACCAACGACGCTACCATGTATCCCGCTGGACCGCATTTCTCCGACGTTTTCTATGGCTCAGTACTGGGGACCGTTGGACAGCTCTGCTCAGTGCTCGCCCTCCTTGCTTTCGGCAAGTTCATGAAGAGTTGGAAGTATAGGACAGTGTACTTCTCGATGACGGCAATGTTGGTGATCATGCAGCTAGGCGACCCTATTATTTTCTCTCGACTAAATGTCCGTATCGGAATCCCCGATCAGGTCTTCGCTATAGGCAGCACAGCCTTAGTGGCCGCAGTGTCTATGATACAGTTCATGCCAGGGTTCCTCATCCTGTCTCATTTATGCCCTAAGAATATGGAAGCTACTATGTTCGCCTTATTGGCATCGTTATCGAACTATGCCCAGAATGTTACACGCCCTATTGCAGGCTTCATCAGTCAATCTTTGGGAGTTGTCCCACGAGGCCTACCTGGTGTTGACGAATCGGAGCAGTTTGACAACCTCTGGATTGTGTCATTGATACTGATAGGCTTAAGTGCCACGTCGCTCTTCTTTCTCTGGTTGATACCTAATGCCAGGATGAACGAGCGTATCATGGCCGACGGTGATGATACCTCGGCTACTTCTGGTTCACTATTCGAGAGGTGGATGCGAAGCAGACGCGGTTCCACAGGGGAAGTAGAGGTCGAATCTGAGGATCCTAAGCTCACTATTGAGGAAGAGAGGAATCCTATTATTTAGGTTTGATTGGATTTCGTCGCATAAAGGATATATCACTGTCTAGTGTCTAGAGAGCTTGTGTCGAATCATTATTCTTTGTTGTGAGATTTCATGGGGCGTGATGGCGCTAATGGATTTCAGGGCTTACAGTCGCCGATCTATACGACGAGTGATTCCTACTAGGCCGGTGTACAATCCATTATTAGTCGCCGAGAGTCGTTGCCCCTTATAATGGCAGTCTTAACGTCGTAATATTATCGAATATTGATTATCCGCTTTCGATTCATCTCGTGATATTTGGTCGCGGTCTTGGGAGGTCTGGACTCCTTTGCAAAAAGCAATACTGTTATTGGTGGCACAGAGACCGTCTTTCTAGCGAATGTTGCGTCTGAAATACTAACAGGGCATGTTCGCACTTCTGTATGACTATGCCAATAATGACTACGAAAATTTCGTAGTCATTTAATCCCTCACAGACTACGGTCGCAGAGACTTAG